TTCCTCTTTTGTTGAAAGTTCACATGCTCCCTCAGCTGTGCCTGATCGTGTGAATCAGGTGTCTTCCTTCCTCCTGTAAAGTCACTTGTGCAGCTACACTAAGGGGAAACCCTGACTGCTTTAACAGCCCAAGAACATCGTTACTAAGCCCTCAAATTGGGAGTGACATCAGATGAAGTCCAACCCAGCCTTCTATATATCTGTTAGTGGGAAAGCAACAGGGTCTAATGACAGTGATGCAGCCAGAAAACATAAGCAAATGAATTCTGCTGCATTCCCCTTACATCCAGTCATATCATACTTACTGGTGTGCATGAGCTCTCCTTAATGTGACTCATTTTTAAATTTATTTCCCCTTATGGTATACACTGACTTTGGCAACCCAGAGCAGGATGTTTCAGGCAGCGGGAGCGTGATTTCTAAGGCACACTGCCATTTACTAACCACCAGGATACTGCTACTCATCAGAATTTATCTTTGCAGACTTCTCAGAACTCCCCTTCCTCCGGCATCTATTCTCTAATGAAATACTTTAATAATTGGTATATAATAATATTGCAAATTTTTTGTCTTAACTTTCTTGTGAAATAGGTGTTTCGTGTGCAGCCACCTTTATCTCAGGATTTCACAGACTAGATGCTATGTTCTTAGTACATAGTTGAACATTCCACAATATGAATTCGAAGAAACAGACCCTTCATGTATCATAAGATCCAATTTTCATTACTTAAAACTTGATTAGAAGCCATTGTGGAGGGGAAAAGTAGAATAATAAAACAGGGAGGAGTTGGGGTTTTTTTTCTTTGCATCCTAAGTGGAATGTCATCCCAATGTTTTTATGAGAACAATATTTTTCAGGAAGTTTTTGGAATTCTTTCCTTTGTTTTTAGTGCTCCAACTAATTTATTTTTTTTTAAGGTTTTACAGTTAAAACCTAGTTGATAAACAGTGTTTAATTTTTTTGATGCTCTAGTTTCTCAACTGGGCCAGCCTGAAAGGAACAGGTAAAGGTCAGATGCCACAGGCATGCAGGAAGTGGTGGAAAGGGGACATACTGCTCATCCCAGGAGCAAGTTGCTGTTGCCATGGTGAAGTGTTCTTTCCTGACTCTCTTGTGCTCTTAGGTACCTCCTTGGGCCATAATCACAGAATGACAGGGGGCTTAGTAGGTACCATTATTGGTTCATTTTTACTCTCCAAAGGACGGAGATTGAATCACAAAGCAGACAAGTATCTAGTCCTAGAATCAGACTGCTAAGTTTTTTTCTTTCTTTTTAATGTGTTTGGTTGTTACAAACAAGTATCCTGTTTAACAACTTTAATCTCTTGTCTCTCTCTTTTTTTTTAAATCCAAATAAGTGGTTTTCTAACTCTAGTGTCATAGAAGTATCTGGGGTTAGGGTTGGTAAACCTGGCAACCCTTTCTGTGATACTCAAAATGCAGGTAGATTCCTGAGTCCTCCCTAAGAACCAGTGACTCATAAACCTCTGAAAGAGAGGGTGAGGAATCTGCACAGTAAACGTATTTTTCAGATGACTCTAATCCAGCCTTTGAACTAGACTTTGTGAGAAACACTGATCTAAATTATTCCAAACTCAAAGGGTTTCTCAGTATCCACACTGGTTTCATCAGGAAATATCAGTAGTAATTGCAACCAGATTTTCTATTTTGTTACAAGTGCTGTAGCAATTGTTGAAACAAATGGGAACATCCGTTCTATTCTTCCTCAGTATGACTCCTGATTTTATCATTCAGCACTTTCTACCATCCGACCGACCAGCAGTGACTTTCAGAGCCTCTTTGGACACCCGTGTCAGCAGGACTGACCCGCGCCACCTCACTTGACTATAGATTGTCTCCATCCATAGCTGTGATTGTTTGTTTCTCCATGCTGTTTCTTCCTGGGATTCTCCTTGGTTTCTTTACTTTTTATCCAAAAACAAAGAGCACTTTGTCTTCCAACTTATGCCATCAATTCACAGACCTCAGCTCCATTAGGAAGTTCCTTAAATTTTGCTTCTCAACAAAAAATGTTCCCAGGGTAGGTAATAGGATGAAAGGCTATAACAGAGAGTAAAGATCTTATTTCTGAATGAAATTTTGTCATTCTGAGTTAAGTTTTAAATCTCTCTTATTAGAAAGTTAAAGTTTAAAAAATGCCAATAGTGAAGTCAAAGTTTATTTAGTTATATAGAATCAAATAAGAGTGAGGTAGAAATCCCAGTTTCTTTTAGTTTGACTTCTATAATAGACTAAAAATAGCTTAATAATTGTTTTCAAATCTAAATCATTTTTTTTTTTTTTTTTGGATGTCATTCTGACCTCAGAAATTTCTATTTAGGGATTTTCACAATTTGTGTAAGTAAACTCATGTTTAAACAACCTAATAGTCATTCGTTCTCTCTTGAGTTATAAATAAAATTATGATTATAGTTTGGACCATTTCACATATTCTTTTCTGCTACTATAGAGAGCACAGTGTAATTTAGCTTGAAGAACACAACATATAGGGTTTAACGGATGTAGGTTTGAACCTCAGCACTGTAAGCTTTTTTAAACAAGTCACTCAATTTTCCAGAGTCTATCTTCTCATGTAATGAATACAATATGTATCTCAGAGTGTTATTATGAGGTTTTAAATGAAGTAAAGTGTATCAAAATTCCCAGTGTAGTTCTGAGGTGAAAATTCAGGTTAATTTAAATTTTGGTTGCATCTAATGACAGGAAACCTCTCTCAACCTTAGATAAAGATAAAAATTTGTAGGTCTGTTATTTTCATAAGTTTTTCTTTGACCAACCTAAAATTATCACATTCCTATAGAGAACTAGACCCTAAGACATTGTAATTGTTTCATTTTTATTCTCGTTGCTTTTTTTTTTAATCAGTAAAGCATAGTTTATCGATGAACCCAAGGGTAGCTTATCCCTTTGGCAGTTGCCCTACTAAGTGGTAAGATTGTATATGTATTTTTTGCTTCCTTTGCATCTTCTAAGATCCCTGCCAGTTCAGCTCATGCTCCCCACCACCACCCACAGGAGTTGATGATATAGGTATATATAATGTGGTCTCCACCACCATAACCCCTCACATTGCAGCATAATAGAAAAAAAACATTGGTTCTGGAGTCAGAAATGCATTTGAGTAGTTGGCTACTTATGAGTGTGGTAATCTCATAAAGATTAACTGAGATAATTTGCATGAAATTACTCTATAAAGTATAAAAGCATTATTTTTCCTGTGGTTAAGGATTTATATAAGGAAGAGCCTTGACATTTATTGTATGCCTAATATATGCCAAGTGCTTCATATACCTTCTCTATAAATCTATGAGGTAGGAGATATTATTCTCATTTTATTTTAATTATCTTTATTTTTGAAAGAATTACAGATGTCCCCCTTCCCCCCCCCATTGTGTTATAGATAACTAGCCTCAAGCCACATGATTATAAAGTAGTAGAGTATATTTGAATCAGACTTATTACTCGCTACACTGCCTGTTTTCATCAAAGCAGCAAAGCTCAGGCCAGTCTTGCTCCTGCCTCTTGACTATCAAGGAGAGAGGAAAGGAGTAGATGAGACAATAAAAGGAGACTCTCCACATAGGTAGTTAGCAAATAAGGAACTATTTGAGAAAATACACTGCTACTGACTTGATAGGGCGTATTTCTGCCACTGTCTGTGACAAAACTGAAAAGGCCAGAGAGGCCACAGCCTCTGAGGAGGGTTTCTTTAGTGCCCATGTCCTCTTACAGGACTTTCAATAAGTAATTATTTATGTTTTATATCAGCCTTATTTGGCTTAGCAATATGGATACCTTAGTGAATAAAACTGGCAAACAATATAGGAAGTTATTAAATTTATTTATCGTAATTCCCTAACCACTCCCACCCCAAAAGAAAACAAAACAAAAAACAACAAATCTCAGCCTTGTCCACATGGAAATAAAGGTTTTTCTTCCACATTTTCAAACTTAAGCATCTAAATTATATTAGAGTTTAAGCTTGGAAATTGTACCAGAACCTAATGTTTTGCTTCTTTTCGTTTTGGCAATTCATACCCAAAAGTGTTACTTATTTTCTTTGTAAATGATGCAACAATGTGGAAGAAATATCACTTACAGTTGGAGAGATCTGAGTTTTTCTAGTTGGCATTAAAAGTAGCACACATGCAGAGTGGTGAAATTAAAATGATGTGTATAACATTTTAAAGTTATTATAGGCCTTTAAAATGCTAGGTAGATTAAAAAGGAAAAGGCTGGTTCATGAATTTTGGTCGTTAACACATTGTATTCAAGAACCATTTTTAGGTCCCTGTTCTTCTAGGCCTCACTGCTTCAAACACAACTTAGGTGGAATTTTTTTTTAAAATAATTATACTTAAGTACCTGATGATCTAATGAAGACAATTTCTTAATGTGTCAAAATGAGTTCTTTGTATCTTATTTGACTCTTTTGTTGCCTTCTGCTAATCTGCTTTAGGGCTCTGAAATCCAGGCATTTTTACAATGCAGACTCTAGCAATGGCATTCATTTGGAACCCTGCCTTTTGTTTACTAGCTTTCCCAGACCCTCATGGTTTCCTTTGGTCATCTGGTGTCTTCACTAATGTGATTGGTTCTCCTAAGCTCTGCAGGTAGCCATGGGCCTTTATAAGTGGGATTTACAATGGGACTCAACACTCTGGCTGCTAATGAAGGCAGCCACAGGGATTTTGTTTTGTGTGGTTTTTTTTTCAGTCTGTCTTCCAAAAGAGTGAACAAAAATTGTTTGCTGGGTATGCTAATTCTCCTTGTTTTCTGTTTACTTAATTTTTACAATTGATTTACTAACTGTGGTGCAAAAATATTTTTGTTTAGGAGTCAGAATGTTTCATCTGCCAACCCCTTCATGCCAGTCACTAGAATTGTTTATTATTGAACCTGGAAAGAACAAAGTAGAGTCTCTGTTTAAACTCAACCAATTGGCATTTCACCTTCATCTGTTTTTGTCTTTCAGGAGGTTTTTGACCAATTTGATTGTTTTGAAAAAAGAAAGGCTATGACTGGGAGCCTTGGACTCTAGTACCAGCCCTGCTACTTTGTACTTCTATAATCTTGAGTAAGTCACACTCTTTGATTTCTCATCTAAAAAAAAAAAAGAAGAAAAAAAAAAGGAAAGTGTTACCAAGGTACATATGGGATCCAAGATAATGTTTCATATTCTTCCAGCTTTCTGCTCTTTTTACTACCAAAGCGAACTACAGGGCCCTTTCATTTGATTTTTGGGTATACCTACCATGGAAAAACAAACTTGCATTAATAAAGTGCTTTAACCAGCAGTCAGAGCAATAATTAAATATAAAGTGTCCATATCATCATTTTCGAAGTGATATGCTTTGTAGATTATAGAGAAAGGATTTATTGGTCCATTTTCCAATAACGGAACCCATGCTTTAATTGCTCTTTATAAGGGAGTAGTTCTCAGATGAGGTTTAAAGGTCTTCCAGAGGTCATGGGTTCTTTGGAATTTAGGATGAGAAGGGACATCAGCAGTCGTTGTGTCCAATCACTTGAGTTTTACTAACAAGGACTCAAAAGGCCCAGAAATGCTTAGTAGCTCATCCATGGTAACAGAGCCCGTAGAGCTGCCAGGAAGGCCCAAACTCCCATGACAAAATGGGACATACTAGGGAGGTGCTGTCCTAACTTTCTCTTAATGAAAAACAAAATGAAAGGTGAAAAGGAGGGACTGTTTATTCCAAGTCTAAAACTTAAAAATTACTGCTTGATAGTATTAGGTAGTTGGTTAATTACATTTTAGCTTCCAGATTAAAGTCAACCCAATCCCACAAATGTTTAATGAGGACATACTGTGCATGAGACATTGAACTGAGATGATGCTCCTACAAAACTGTGCAGTCACAGTTTCTGCCCCTCAGAGACTTACAGATTAACTGGAGATAAGACAAATAGTACTGCACAAGTTGCTGGGAATAAAAATGATTTAAAAAACACAGGTTTTCAAAGTCTCAAAGGACTTTTTGAGGATTTATTTCAAAGTCCAAAGGGAGATGGAGTTAAATAGAACCTGATAGGTCAAGTGTTCGTTAGCAGGTCAAAGGTAAATTCAGGGTGCTTTGGGAACTCACAGGCAAGGCCTTAAGTCAAAATGGGAGTAAAGAACTAGTAAAATAATAAAATTTGGGCACATTTTCCTATTCTTGAGTTAGTGATTGTTACTGGAGAAAATCAGCCATGCAGATTGATGTCACTATGAATTCGTTGTCTCTAACCCTAGCTATAACTTAATTGTGTCTTTGACTGTCCTTGGCTGAATCCCTCTCCTTTTTCTTTTATCAATTATTCCAAATCTACTCTATTCTCTCCAAGTCTGTACCCACTGCCCTTTTCTCAGCAGGGTAACCCTCTCACTTCTAGAAGCCCCTAAAGAGTCCCAGTAATCTCCTTGAATTCAGCTGACCTGTAAGAGCTAGTATGCCAAGTGCTTTATCTCCAAAACCCTGCTACCCCTCAACTTCAGATTCATCTATGAAATTATGACTGGATATATTCATTTGGATATGTCACAGCATCTCAGAATCAATATATCTAAGACCTGAATGCATCACCTACCATTCAAAACCTCATCTTCCTCCGCAGAGTGCCCTTAATATGAGAAGGTGCCATCATCCCCCACAATTTGCATTTTAGAAAAACTGTCTGACTGGAACATGCCAAATTCAGAAAGAATGTCCATTTAGGAAGCTGCAATAATCCAAACCACTGTATTCCTTGTCACAGTACTTAACACATCGTATGTAATTGCATGAAAGAGAACACAGCCAAGTGATTAAAAACATGTTTGGAGTAAGATGGTTCTGTACTGATTCCTGGCACCACCACTTACTAGCTAGCCAAGTGTGTGACCCTGAGCAAATTATTAAACTTTCTAAAACTGGGTTACCTCACCTGAAAAATCGGGACAATAACAATACTAATATCATAAGGTGTTCTGAGGATTAAATGAGATATCACATATGAAGCTTCCAGCACTGGTATCCCTAACTAAGATCTTTGAGGGCAAAGACCATTTCTGCCTTGTTCACCACTGTATCTGCAGGACGTGGCACAGAAGAGGCACTCAATAAGCATTTGTTGAATGAATGGTAAGGTCATGGCATGCTTGAATTGAAGTACTAACAGTAGGGCGAGAGAAAAGCAATGCAAAGTAGAGACCTAGGCTTCATCGTGAATCACTTGCCCATGTCATTAGTCACCAATCTCTAATGATCCCCTTTCAGTCTACCACTAGAGGAATCTATTCAGAGCTGAAATGGGAACATGCCATTCCTTTGCTTAGTGCCTTTTTGTGTGGCTACTTTTTATCTACAGGATCCAGTCTCAACTCCACATGCCTGGGCCTACATTTTCATGTTCCTTTCCTACCACTCCCTCTCTCACCAGTGGTAGTCTAATAATGCCAGATTGGTCTTGTCTTCTGAATATCCTGGGCTATTTCAGAGAGGTGCTTGCTTATTTTTTCAACACCCTTCTCTCCTGTATCAGTTAGGATTACATTTGTCTGCAAATGACAGGAAACACCAAACAGCAAGTTGGAAGTTTATTTCTTTCCCACATAAACAAAGTTTGGAGGCAGATTTCTAAGCTGATGAAGCATCTCTGCTCTCATCAGGGTTCGAGGCTCCTGCTTTGTAGCTCTGCCATCGATGTATGCCTTACATCCTTTCCCTCTCTCCCTTCTTTACTCCCTCTGGGACCTTGTTCCATTAATCATCTCCTCTCTTCTGTACCATCCCTCTCTTTGGAGGGAAGAACCTTATCCTATAAGCATCCCTCCTTGTAATTACTCTTTTACTTACAGCTACCAACTTATTTCCACCCTAGTTCATCACACTTCTTGAAAGAGTAGTTGCTACATGCCATGGCAACCTGACCTGGGATCGAACCCGCAACCTAGGTATGTGCCCTGATTGGGAATCAAATCCACAACCTTTCTGGTGTATGGTACAACACTCCAACCAATTGAACCACCCATCCAGGGCCATATTGGGTTTTTTTAATTGAAGTATAATTGACATATAACATATTAGTTTCAGGTGTACAACATAATGATTTGATATTTGTATATATTACAAAATGATTACCACAGTAAATCCAGGTAATATTCATCACCATACATAGTTATAAAATTTGTTTTTTCTTGTGTTGGGAACTTTTGTTTACTCTTTTAGAAACTTTCAAATATACAATACTGTATTATTAACTATAGTCACCATGTTGCATGTTACATATTGTTTTATGTGTAAAACCATATAAAACCATAGAGTTTTATAACATATTTTCCATTTCATGTATTACTTATATATTCTATGTCAAAAAGGTACTTTTTATAGCTTCATAATATTCCATTATGGAAGGATTTGTGACGGTTAAATTAGACAGTATATGTGAGGTACATGGTAGACATTCATTAAATGGTAGTGGTTATTACTGTTACTATACTGTGCTTAATTCTTTCCCTATTTGTAGGGTATTAGGTTGTTCCCAGGGGTGGGGGAATTAATTTTTTACTTTATTATAATAATAATAGGCATTAACTCTTTTTATTAGCTAGAAACATTTTTCTTAGCTGATTATTTTTTCTTTTTATTTGTTTTAGATGTTAACTATACAGAAGTTTTATGTTTTCACCAATTAAATCTGTCAGTCTCATTCTTTGTGACTTCTAGGATTAAAAAGTTAATTTTTCACTATGATATCATAATAAATCTTGAACATGAGAAATATCTGTATAATAAATTTTTAATTCTGTTTTCTCTTACTTTTATGTGGTTTGATGTGGGTGGGCATGTACATGTATTTAGGTATAGATACTTAATCTTTTTTCTCTCTGGAATTTATTTCTAGTATTTACTAAAGTTTTTAATTAGCTGTTACTTCTTAAATTGTTAAACATTATTTCAGTATCCTTATGTGAATCATTTGTTCTCCCCTTTATTTTATAATACCTCAATCATCATAAAATAATTCTTCTAGATAATATAAACTGTCGCCAAGGATCGTCTCATTCTTGTGCCAGCCCTAATTTTAAGTTATGCGATTATTCAAACAATATTTTTGAGTGCCTACTGTGATTTCACAATAGGCAAAATACAAAAGCACAGTCCCTACCTTCATGTAGCTTAGAATTTAATAGGGAAGACAAACAATCAATTGGTGCTACAAATTATATAGCTCAGAAGTGAGTGAATTGTTACAAATGAGATGAATAAGGGTCTTTGAGAGCTTTTAGCAAAGGGCTGAGGGACTCAGGGAAGCAGAGCTTGAGTTGAAATCTAAGGAATGAAGGGGGTATGACTAGAGAAAAATAAAAGATAGGAAGGGTGGTATTACAGGCAGAGGGAACTTAAGTATTTAAAGGTTGGTCAGTGTTGCTGGAGCATAGCATTTAGGAAGAGAACAGTGCAAGCCAAGGCTGGAGAGATAGGCAGGGATATTGACAATATTGATTGTTATCTTCAAAGCAATATAAAACCACCAAGTGCTTTAGCAAAGAGTTGGCATGATTATATTTTCATTGTAATGCAGAGAAGTGATTGAAGGGTGCCAGCAAGGAGGCAAGGAAAGCAATTAGGCAAGTGGGTGCTGGCTCCTAAGCTGCTTGAGTGTCCTTACAGCATGGTGACTGCCTTCTCTTTAGTGATCCAGAGGTCAAGGCAGAAACTGCAACATCTTTTATGACCTTGGAAATCACACACTGTCACTTGTTCAATATTTTATTGATCATACAAGTCAGCCCTGATTCAGTGTGGGAGAAGATTACACAGGAGGTGAGAATCATTGGGGCCATCTTGGAAGATATACCATAGATGAAACCCTGTGAACTCCAACCTATCGTTGCTGGACAGTGTATTATGAGGGTGCAGAGGAAATTGAGAAGCAGCATAGGGAAGGAGGAAAACCAGAAAACTTGTGAGATGAAATCCAGCGGAAGGAAAGAAAGTTTCAAGAAGTCTCCCAAAAGAGCATGTTGAATAAGAATTGAAAAATGTTCATTGGACTTAGTGACATGGATTATCACACGGCCAAAAGCTCTTT